AACGCTACATATCGTCATAGAACAGAGCGTATAATGGCAGTCAACTCAACTTCATCGATTTTGAAAAGGCCTTCGACAGCGTCTATCGAGAAGTAATTTGGCAACTGCTTCAACACTACGGAATACCACATATCTTTATCAACCTCATTCAACAGCCATATGAAGACGCCATATACCAAGTGATTCACAATGGGAAGCTCAGTGATGCCTTTGAAGTGAAGTGGAGACAGGAGTAAAACGAGGCTGTCTGCTATCACCGATGATTTTTTTGATTGTGGTGAACTGGATCATGCAGCAAACAGTGAGGAGCGAGAAGAGAGTGATACGCTGACTGAACCAATGAAAAGAGCCTAGAAGATTTGGATTTTGCCGATTATGGTTTGTGTCTAATGTTGTAAACTCGAAGATCTACAGGCAAAAACCAATAAGTTGACAGAAGAAGCAGGGCAGCAGAGACAGGACTTCCTTCAGGTGAACGTAGAGAAGACAGGTGATAAAGATACCCAACCAACAACAACAAGAGGCACCAGTCTCCATCAACGGGAGAAATCTGAAGCAAGTTGTCTCTTTCATCTACCTAGGCAGCATCATTTCAACTACAGGCATCGGCACAGATGAGGATGTCAAAGCCAGGATCGGAAAAACAAGTCAGGCCTTCATTTATCTGAAATCAGTGTGGAGATCTGCTGCACTGCACTCCACTTAGCATAAAGCGTGAACAAAATCCGGATTTTCGACAGTGATGTCAGTCAAGTCAGTCCATCTGTGTGATGGTTCAGAAACTTGGCGCGTCACTAAGAGCATTTCCAGAATAATAGCAATAAGCAACAAGGAACTCTGGCCTGCCAACACATATACAGAAGAAGTGGAGATGGATTGGATTGGACATACACTGAGAAGACCGATTGGGAATATCACGCGCCAGGCCGTCAAATGGAACCTAAATAGGAAACGACGAGTTGGACGTCCGAGGCGAGAGTGACATGGAGGAGATTGTGTGAGGATGAAATGAAAGCTTATGGGCAGACGTGGAGCCAGGTTCAAAAGACTGCAGAGAAAAGAGTGCAATAAAGATGTGCTACTTAAACCCTATGTTCCATCAGGAACCCAAAGAACAAATAATCGTAATAATAATACGTGTAGTGAGACACATACACCGCGACGACTCACAGATTTATGCAAGTAAAGGCTTCGGAGCATATTTCAAAGTGACTTCAAAAGTAAATCGAATCACCTGAACCCGTAAACGTTGGTAGCCGACGTCCAGGTTCTTCGATTGCAAAAAATATCGGTTAGATAGATCACAGGATCGACATCTCTGCATCCTTTAGAACTATTTACAAAACTTATTAAGTGATGGATAGTTAAATCTGTCAAGGTGTTAGCTATTAGGAAGTTTAAGCCATTTTTATATCTTCGAAAACAATTTGTTTTGCTCTAAGTTTTACTTAGTGAATCGGGTGTGAAAGCAAAGTCGATGCACAGTTATTTATGCTCTACTGATTTTCATTGTTATTTTGGTCTTCAATTTAGCCTTTCTACTTGACTTCTCATATCTTCACTCCTTGTTTCTTGATAACCTTTCATATAAATACCTATGACAAGAAGGTGTGTAGCCAGATTGCGTGAAAAATGTTGCGCAAATACACTATACGATACAGAAAAACAGTAGACTCTTCATTCTTAGTGTATAGTTTTGTGTAGTTTCTATTCCTTAAATGTAATTCTTCAGTTATAGATTGAGCAAGATGTCAATTGTAGTATGAGTTATTACTTCATACTTATGTCGGTAAGAAGCATACGTTTAAAGTATTCTCAATGCTTCTGTAAAATTGAGTAGTTTTCAAGATTGACAGTTGGTAAGGTGCAATTACCATGTGAACAAATTATTGAAAAAAAAGTTTTAATTGAGGTTAAAATATTATGCAAATGCTTATCCTTGTCCAATTTTCATCGTATATCATGTTAAATGGTTGTAGATATGTAAAGTGTTACTGTTATATGTACAGGTGAGTATAATCTAAAATCATGTTATGACTTTCTTTATGAAATTTTAGATAATCCATAAATAAAAAGGATTAAATTCATAGAAATCACCATTTGTATTCAAAATGTCAAGATTTTTGGAGTGATTTAATTATGCGTTAATAACTAGTGAATTTTAGGTAGAAATGAAACTTCAAAATCAGAAAATACAGAGAATTACTAATACAAAACGTGTCAGTCACCCAGTATCAACATTACTGCTATACTTTATATCAGTACATTGTAGGCGGAGGCACTAAGGTGAGCAATAAAGAGGCAAGGAAGAAAGGTAACGAGAGCAGGAAGGAATTAGATAATTACGACATTTGGTATGATGATAAAGAGGAAGATAAGGCGTCGATGCATCCTCACCACAAGTCGATTCCCAGCTATTTGGCCTTAAGTCTTCAACCATAGACTATGGTCATCACGCAGACTCCAAGCGGGAAGTCTGCATCTATCCACATGGTTCAAACCAACAGTTACAGACTTCATGAACTGGTGTCATATTTTAGTTTGGTCATCTTTAACATTTTTAAGCTCACATCACACGATGGGTTAGGCGGTGATTAGAGATGTGTAACGTGTCCCACCCATCTAGATTACTGAAGGTTCGAGACCTCGTCAACTGACTTACCTCCTTTGCGTAAAACTCTACGCCTATCTTGTACGTGACTCACATGGTGGCACCACGTAACATGCCACGAAGTCAGTGGTGGCTGAACACTATTATTTTCTACCTATGATGACCATGTTTCACAGCCGTACGTAAGACGCAACAAACATAATAATCATTTAGTTGGTGCAGAACTGAGTTACACAATCCCTAAGTGAATGAAGGTGGTAAGATGCACACCTCCTCATATACACAGTTTTGGTTTCACTTTTCATATTCTAATAGCGTTAGTTCCTGGTACTAGTGTTTGCAGTGAATGGATGTGTTTTTTGAATTAAGAATATTCAATATTTGCTTCATAACCCAATATCAACTGAATAGGATCAGCTAAAAATGCCTCATTCTTTACTTCTCATCTCAACTGTGCTGGAATATTTCCTCTCTCACTCTATGAAAAGCTGTTCTCCCATTAAGTCTGTAATGGTTAACTTCAAAGTCTTTTCAAGGAGAATATTGATTGGTTCAAAAGTTTGAAAAAGAATTTCAGTCATTTCATCTCTAAACTAATTGCCTTTCCTACACTTACTGGTAACTAACTAGTTTTCCGATTATGGTCATATTCCTTTGAGTTAAATCCCCAACGTATCGTTCTTCTGTGAACATGTTTGTCAGATTATGGAATGCTACATCAATTGTACTGCTTAAACCATCTCCTATGAATCTTCGTCAATTCTCATTACAAACGAGTTACTTATAAGAAATATTGTATTATTGTTAATTCAAATGGTTTGTAGATGGTTATGCACAATAATCCATTCTCCTTAATTTCTATATGTATCATTTCGGTGGGAATCAGTTCAAATCAGATTCATTGAATATGGGGTACTATTCTGTGAATCACTGTTTCTAGATTTTATGATCAATAGAATGGTTCAGAAGTAACAACGGAATCGTGTTACATTGATCACATAAGCATTAAGTGCGAAAAAAAACTAGTCATAGGTTTCTTTTGTACTTCTCCATTTAGGCAGTGTGATCCAGTGCGGTTCAACAACCACATTACGCCTGTGATGGAGTGAGTATAAGAGAGTGTTAATCTATGCTACACTAATTGTTAGTAGGATATCTAAATAAGTGAGCCTAAACTTTATGTACTAGAGAGTACCTACTCAAATCTAACTCCATTTGTCATGTGTGATATTCAAAATATACTCAGCCGGCTGAGTCTACTATTATTGAGTTATGTCAGCTGGCTATACAATGCTGATTTATTTTTTGACTGTTAATGCCTATAGTCAATGTTACTGATTGTAGAAATCGTAGTGCTTTGAATTGTTCTTTTTCTCTACAGTGACCAGTCGACTACCTTTCCTAGCTGATCTGTCAGTAAAACTGTACACTTTACATATTGAAATATGTACTGCATCTCTAATTGAAGACAGTAGGAAGTTGTTGATACTTAAATATTAAAAAAGCAATGTTTTCTTCAAATAGTTTATATTAGTAATTTTGAAGAATGTGAATATGGTGCTGTATGTTGAAACTAAGGTGAATTGGACATGCTATTAATCATAACTACTTTTTTAAATACTTCTGTCATAATCCTTCCTGCGTAGAAATCCTAACCTGTTATATTAAATGCAAAACTTTATTCAAATTGTTTTTATGCATTTAATCATCCATAAAGGCTGAAATTTGATTCATTTCTCTAGGTGTCCAATCCCTAATGATTGGATTAATTGTGAAAGCCTAGTCACACATTTTGGTCTAAATGATCAGAGAGTATCGTTGTCACTCATACCTTTCCACTGAGTTACATATAAGCTGACTTACATGTATTTATATATATTGAGGTTAATGGGGATTTAGTTTTCAAGATGGCGTTCATCTCCAACTGATGTGTGTTCGTGATGAATGCTACCTTAGACATAAAATCCCCACTAACCTCAAAATACACTATTTTATAGTGCTAATTAATGACATGCTTCCAGATGGATGTTCTAAAGACACCTGTGGGGAAGCGGTTGGCAACTGAAGACTTTGGGTGGTAGTCACGCTTTATCACGAATTGACAGAATATGGAAACTGTGAACCATTGAACTTCGACCGAGTGGTTAAATGGTTAATGCGTTCATTGTGAAGCATAAATGTCCCAAGTTCGATCTCTAGACCGGTTATGTGTCTGTACCGCTGAGGAGTTCAATACTAGGACGAAATGGCTGTCCAGTGGCCCCAGGTTTTCAAAGGCTTTCCAACTGATGTTAGTCCATAATAAATGCTACCTTTTATATGTATATAAATTATGAGTGTCAAACTGATCAGTAGCCTTATCACTTTTTTTTATTATCGTAACTGACAGACTTGTGAACCAGTCAAGAATCCAGTCCAACACATTTCAGATATCGGTGTTAAACGCTCTTCTTCGACAGATTTCGACAAAAGTTACTCCTCTCCTAAAAGACATTTTGACAACTCAGACAATAACAACTATTATAAGGTAAGTGAACTTCATTTAAGTTTAAATATACTTATTGTTTTAGAAATCAAATAACAGCAATAGTACTATTGAGACTGAATCTGAACCAACTTTGTTTCAAACAGCAGGATCCTTAGTAAGTGTAGACTTCTTGGATAGATTTTTGTTAATTTGCTTGTACGTTATATTAGTCATTTACCGTAAATAGTTGTGTCGTTCTTATCCCAAAATACGAATCTTGAGAGTACCTACCTTAATTCTAAGTACACTTCGTCCAAGTAGCCCATTGGAAGGAATCAGGGTGACTTGAAGTATTTAGCTACCTGTGTTGAGTGTTCTGGGGGTAAACCAATAGTAATCTTAAGGCAGCCATAAGTGATCATTTCATGTTCAGATCATTCGTGTGTGACTAACAAACACTGTTGATCGCTGTGGTTATCAGTAATATATACTGAGCAACTATTCTGTCTTTGATTTTTAATATGTCAGCGTTTGAAGATGATTTATTACTGTCGTAGAAATCGATCATCTAAAATATGTTAATTATCATTTGTTCTGACGTAATAAGCACAATGTAGCAAAAATAAATCTGGTTGATAATTGTTATTATCGTCCTACAAAATCACAGCCTATAGTATGGTTTTAATAATACGTCTTATGTGATGGTCAGCTTGTTTCATTTTGAGTTATGGTAACTTGAACCATCAAGCAGTAATAACAGGTGCTATGATAGTGACTGACTAACTGATCTTTTGTATAATGGAATTACTCATACTACTATACTTTATGCTCTGGAATAAACTGACTAACATCAAGAAGTCTCCAAGAGCTTACAGAGACCTATTACTTATACACGGGGTGTTCTTCGAAGTAACAAGTAGCATTACTGGTTTCAAGGCTTATCTATAGTATCTTGAGTTTTGATAGCTAGTCTTGAATTTAGCCTGATTCCATAATTAGTTGCAGTACTGAATTCCTTACATTGACCATTTTAGGATGACAACTCCGATGACCATCAAAATGCAAGATAAATTTAGCGTGCACTAAATTGTGATCAAACTCTTAACATATAGAAATGAGTCTTGAATGCATCCATATAATCAGTAGCTAACTAAAATACGATCTGTTTGAGTGGTAGAGAAAGGATGCTAGGTGGCACAATACTTATAGCTATTCTGGAAGTTAGTCCTAGCTTGAAACAAGTTGTAATCTTTGTGAAGCTGCAGATAATGATCCTCAGTATCCGACCCGTATACCAGACCCCGGTAAAGTGCTTCAAATCACTTCCCCATCTGTCGGCTCAAAAGTGTATTCGTAGTGTGCTTATCCTCAAACTCTGTGGTATTAGTAGCCGGCCTTGCTGGTGTTGGTGTTACAATAGGTGCTGAAGCTGTCCTAGTCGATTGGAACCCCATCAACAGTTATCTGTGTGCTTCTAGACTAGAAGGTTTTATTCAACTGAGTAATAACTGGTGAGGGAAACAATGTTTATTCGTCAACTCTACTTATCCTTCGACTAATTGGAGCCTGGATGCAGTTAAGAATGAGTTCTATTCTAAGCTTAGCGACGTTCTGTACTGATTGAGTTGTACAAGTATGTTTCTAGCCAACACCAACTTTTGGCACAGGTATCACTGTTGTGCTACCTGGAATCCTCCTCTTCCCACTCAAGTCTGGAATTAATTGGATCATACCCCAATGACCCACCGATGGCATTAGCTTATTCAGAACCACTACTCTTTTTGGACCACCTGTTTTGGACTCTTATATAGCCTTAATGTGTGTCATCGAAATCATCGTCTAAATCTCATAGACGTGAGCTAACTGGTTGCACCTAGTATCATAAATGGGTACAAAAGTGAGCTAGAGTCAAGATTATCTTTCGAACGTCTAGAAACAACAGATGAGTTTTGGTTGCGCCTACAAAGCGCCATGAAAACGTCGAGTAAAGTTGTCTGCGATTTTAAAGAAATTCCTTATGATAAACACTGGGTCTGTGCGAGCTCCTTGCAAGTTCTTGACACTCGTTGGTGTATTTCGGCGGGTTACGAATACAGTAGTGTGCGTAAATCCCTTACTTGATATATCAGACAGGACTTAAGAAATCAAGATTTTTAGATTCCTCCAGATAAGCTATCGGTGTAACTTGGTCCTAGTGTGCCCTATAATATGATGAGCTTTCCTCCCCAAAATTCCGTTATCGTTATTAAGTTATAATTTAGTTTTACGTGTAATGACTGGCAGAGGAATTTTAGAGATACATTTCGTTCTATTTGGAACATATCAGCGGCATGTACCTGATTTTGATTGTTGATGTTCTCGTCAGGACTTAAATCTAGTTTGTCACCTTGAACACTAAACCATTATCTAACTAATCTACTGAGTTTCGACTGCCATAACATGTATAGCGGGTATTCGTTTGTTGTTAGGATATTTAATCTTTACCGTTGTTGGATTCTAAACATTTTATACAAGGAAATCATGTGTCAGTAGAGACTGATCGCTGTAGTCCTGTTCAACATCTATTGCACACTAAGAAAGTATCGTTCATAGACCAAATATTTTTCTGAATAAATTATCTACATTTAGACTGTATTAATTTACATATATTTAGCAAACTTTATTTTAGTAAATTTACTGTATTTTATGATTATTATTAAAGCTGGAACAAAATATAAAATCAAAACAGACTGGGAACAGCAATAAAGTATCCTTGATGTATGGCTCTTCCAAACGATCTTTAGGGAATCGGTAAGTGCTAACACATGTACTTCAGATTTAATAAGTCAATTTACCAATGCTTGATTTACCTATTTCTTGGATTTCAAGAAACTAACTGTACTCAAAACAGGAATTATTTGAATGGATAATTATTTTCATTAGCTTCCTTTCAGGCTGTACAGTTATAAGTTCAATTCTTAACAAGTCAAATCACCATGACATTGAACAGTGAAATGGCTTCTAGAATTATTCAAACCTTTATAACTTGAAATTTAATTGAAGATTCAATCTGAGCTTTTGTGGGGATTTATTGATTTCAAGTTGGTATTCGTCATGAACTGACATTAGTTGGAGGAACATAGGAAACCTGAGGGCACTGGATAGCTGTTTCGTCCTAGTATGGGACTCCTCAGCAGTGCTCACCCATGACCTTGCCAGGTATCGGGGGGACAAACCTAGTGGGTGTGAGGACATACTCAATGATGACATTGAGGGGAAGTCGCGCTATGTCATGAACTGATAGAAATTGGAAATAAGGACCATTGGATTCCGTCCCAGTGGCTCAACAGTAACGTACTGGCCACGGAACCCGGAGATCATGGGTGTACACTACTGAGGAGTTTCATACTAGGAAGAGACAGCTGTCCGATGCTTCCAGGTTTCCAATGTTTCTCCAACTGATATCAGTCTATGATTAATATCGACTTGAAACCAATTTAACATGACAATACTGAGGAGATGAATCTAATGTGTGAAACTATGTTATTGTTAAATGCTACATTTCCTGCTTAGGAACTCGACTTTTAAACAATGGACCTCTGGTTTGAGCTCCGCTTCACCTGTTTTTTCTTCAGAAACCGAGTAGTATCATAAGCCATCACAACAAATGTGACTCATAGCCTAGTACACAAATAAGGTGAACGTCTACCTTATGTTCAATAATGAATTTTATCGACATGTGGAGACAGTGACGATGGGCTTACCTTTTGGTTTTATACTAGCTGATATTTTCTTGGTCACTCGTCCGTCTTGAGATAAAATAAATTTACTTGAATACATTCGTCGTTATGTAAACGAAACGTTTATTTTATATAGTAAAAAAGTTATAAACTGAAACTTTTGGGAGACTCTACATCATGTCCAACTTGTCACTAAATCTACCTACGAGGAATAACAAGAGAGAAAGCAAATCACCTTTATACTTTCTCCTTATCTAAAGATAGATGATTCCATAGAAAGAAGTGTATTCAGAATAACTACATGGAATGAAGGATATATCCATTTCCTTAACTTCACATCTGTTGTATAGATGAAGAAATAGCGAGTCTGAATGTTTCGACAAAACCCAGTTATTCAAGTAATATCGTCAAGGAATACATATCCTGACTTGATAGAAAACTTAACACACGCATTAATCAGAAGAATCACTGCGTCTGTTCAAAGTTCAACTCAATTCAAAAACTTCAAACCATTTGGCACTCAGTAATATTCATTGAATTAAATCCAGTATAACGTAGCTAGATTAAATTCCTAATCAACGTTAAATAGAGGTAAATAACTTGCCTTAAAAATTTCGCAGATTATGTACAAAGAATTATGAAAAAAGAATACAGTTGAATAAATAATCACCACATAATGAATGAAATTCTAAGTTAACCAGAAAGAAACTTTCATAATTTCTTTAGTTTTAACTTTTAGTCAACTAAGAGTTTTATCACCTGGAAATAAATTTTGCACTGTTACGAGTACAATTACCCAATTTGAAATATAAGTTTATTTTGAGCATCTAAAGTCTAAAACAATAGGTTTAGCTCCGAGATCAAAATTATAAGTTAAACACTTGGAATTGACTTTAATGGATAGCTGTTACCGATGTCGAAATACCAGATTTAACATTATGTTTATCCTAAGTAGTAGTGGTCATAGAGTTGTTAAATAGCTGAAGACTGATTTAAATTTGCTTATTAAACATCTTGATAAAGGAAGTTGTATAAAATGCTTCAAGAGAGACAGACAGGAAAAAAACAACGTAGAACCTCGCGTACAAGTGTATTGGTTCCAGTTGTCACTCTTTACAGTAGCATACAAAAAACAAGTAGAAAGAAAAAGAATGATATCAAAGTAGACAAAGTTATGTGAGAAAGTAAGCAATTCGAAGGTAAGCCACGTCACCAAGAGTCATCAACCATTGGTTATTGTCGTCTTGAGGACCCCAAGCGGACAATCTGCATCTTCCTACATGGCTCAGACCAACAATCAGTGACTCCATCGACTAGTGCCACATGTTGGTCTGGTCACCCTTGAACCCTCTTTCAGCCTAATTCCACTTCTCCCATCAGCTTGGTACATCGAGGTAGGCAGTGGCTTGGCTTGGATAATACATGACCAAACCATCTGAGTCAACTGAGGTCCATAACCCCATCAATCGACTTGGCTGTCTTGCCTAGTACCCTTCGCTTGACCTAGACTTTGTCCACACAGTCATTCCACCAAACGCAAGCAATGCTACGAAGACACCTAAAACCGCTTCATTTCTTCTGTTTTTAATGGCCATGTCTCACAGCAGTATAACAGGACAGAACGGAATGCAGTGCATTATACTTTTCGTTTGATAGACATTTGGATATCTTGCCTGTCTGCGACATAGATGACTCAATTTGGCAAAGGCCAGACGGGCTTTTTGTATCCAAACTAAGGTTTCGTCAGCAACCAAGTAAGTGCAGTGGTCGATACATGCAACCACTTCACTGTATCATTAAATATAAACAAATACTTATCTATATCAAGAGTTAAAGTATTCAGCAACTTCAGTAGCCAGCTGCGATGGTTTTTCTAAAGATTTCTAAAGAGGGAATATCACTGATACTAATATTAGACATATTTGATTCTCTATATATCGTTCCATTGCTAAATAGTTAGCTAAAACTTTATCACCAGTGAAACGATAGATATGTAGATAAAGAATGTAGAATGCATCTGAATTCATTAATTCAAAACTATGACTTAGAAGATGAAACTGTGTTAGCATTAGATGTAAGTAAGTTCATTGTTTACGAATGTCCCCTATTTTGAAAACAGTCGAATAAGCGTGTGCGAAACAACGAGGAAAGTGTAAGCTACTATAGGTTTACTGTTAAAATAACTGAATGATCCTACTGTAAGATTCACAATAATTGCACATTTCTTACTTGGTGTAGAGATATGCCGAAGAATAGATAGAGTTGCAATAAATTGTACTCAAAGTTTTGATTGTGAAATTAAAGAATAAGAAGCTTCAGCCAAAAAACAAAAACTTGTACGGTATTGATATAGTCGATGGATTCATCATGTTCAAAACCTTAACAATCGAGTTTATTAACTCAGATTTATACTTAGATCCGAATTTGTTAGGTGGCAGTAAATGCGTACAGGTTACAGGAAGTGGTCAAGATAATGCATTCTTCCCTAAGCCACTTATTAATATAGTATTTTTCAAGGAGTAAAAATACATTTTTCTCAAGATGGTATTCATCATGGACTGACATCAGTTGGAGGAACATTGAAAACCCTGGAGTACTGAACAACTGTTTCGCCCTAGTATGGGACTCTTCAGCAGTGCGCACCCACAACCTTCAGGTTACCATTGAGCCATCGGGTCGGAATCCAGTGGTCCATATTTCAAACTTCTATCAGTTCACGACATAGCGCGACCATCACCCAATGTCACTGTTGAGTATATGTCCTCACGACCACCAGTTTCCCCCCGCGGGTCACAATTTCTAATTGGAACTTCTGAAATCATCTGTCAAAGCCAGCTACCAATGAGCATTAGTTCAACTGAATTTGGGGTTTGTGAAGATTTAGAGATTTTTCAAGTTGGTATTGATCATGGACTGGCCACAGAACCTGAAGGTCGCAGGTTCGATCCGATCCTTGGCGGGGTCGTGAGCGCGCATTGCTGAAGTTGTCCAGTGCTCCTAGATTCGTCATGTTCCTCCAACTGATGTCAGTTCATGATGAATACCAGCTTGAAAAATCTCTAAATGCCCACAAACCCTAAATTCAAAAATACGTATTCTATTATATCAGTTTTCAAAATAATGAGTTCCCTATATTTCGAACAAGATAATATACATACTTTGACACTGTTATTCATTAAATAATCTCTCTGGTGCTAAATAGCTGTAAATAGCAATGAAATGCTCTGTATGTGTGACAATATTAGCATTAGTGTGATGGTCCGAATTACCAAGACGTTGAAATAAGTAAGTAGGCAAGAAATGTAATTGTGGATAGAACTTCTTGAATACCACTTTCTGTGATAATATCACAGATTATAACCTACGATAAACAGTTACTACTGTGGACTACTTAATCTCTTGATACTTCCTTCAGTGAGAGATAATTCTGCAAAACTTCTCAGTCAGTAATATAAAAGTGTAGCCATCGTATTTTACATTTATTAATATCACTATTATTTCCTATTCTAATCATGGGAAACATATATTATTTTTTTATTTTGTAGTCGTGGTGTCCGCAGTAATTTTGTCCCACCATTTGAGAAGAATGCAGATCCTCTTTCAGCATCATCTGATGCTAATATAGAGTACAAATCGGAATCACCTTGTGATGAACGACTAAAACAGTTTGATCAAAAAATAGTGGATATGATCATGAGTGAGGTAAAAAACAAAACAACTTATGTTGCTATTCTTTTCAAAGTATCCTCTCATTTTATTTCACAAATGAAATCAAGTCTGAATTGTAGACTAAAAAACATTTTTTAATACTCAAATAGGTGGGTTTTGTAAGGATTGACCTGAAAATTCTTCTTGAGTGTTTAGATAAGCACGGCTTAGGAATAAACATCTCTCCAATGCAAAGATATGGCTAACAGAGGAATCCAGGATGCGCATTTCGTCCTACTTGGGACTCGTCAGCTCGATGTATCTGCCTTCCAGTGGGTGTTGTTGTTCTCACCAATACTCCTACCTTTTTCAGTTTTTTTTTTTTTTCAATTAACATGAATTCATGTTGAAAACTGATATCATTTCCGCCTAACAAGTTGTATTGTCAGTACACTTAATGTATACATGGTTTTCAGTATACTTGAAAAGTGTCTATTACATTACTAAGGTGACTAGTCTTCTAGTTAGCTAGCATTCAGCTAAGCATTTACAGAAAAATATCATTTAGAAAACAAGAGATTTATTTCATGAATCGTAGAATTACCAGTTTTCATCGTGTTCAGCTATATAAAGATTAAAAAAACAGTAAACGTTATTGTCATCTCTGTAATATTGTTTTCAATTAGATCTCATCAGGTTTTAATCTAACATAAACACAACTTTCAATATTTATATATAACATACCAACTAATCAGCGTTATTTGTGACTAAACGATAACTAAACACTTTACACATTAATTTAGCCTTTCAATGTTAGAACTCATTAGTCTGTTGTTATTATTATGGTTCAGTAATGTACGATAGTTAGTTATTCCAGATTGTGCATCATTTTACGTTAGATTTTGATTACATCAGGTTTCTGATTCAATAGGATTGGAAATAATTAGTCACAGTTGATTTGATTACCCTTGATTTGTAAAAGGCAGAATTAAATAAGTAACAGACTACTTTTTTTTTTACACAAATTGCTGTTGGACGTCTAAGCTACTGAGTAAATTAGATCATCTCAGATTGTTTCTGAGTTGTTTTTTTTTCATGTTAAAACTTTCGCTTACTAAACTCAAACTGATGTTTAAAACTTTATCTTACTGTAAAGAGTAGTGTTACCTGCTTATCTTGAGTTACGTTATTACCTTTAGTAAGGTAGTGGTTATCATCGTGTCGCTGGAATACAGTGTTTATTCAACAATTATTCAGTTTCGCTTCTTTTGGCTAAAGGGAAATACTTCCTTTCTTAAATTTATCAAAGATGTAGTCTTTATCTTGCGTTCTAATCAACGATAAACAGACACTCACTTACTTTTTAAAGATTTCAGTCAACTGTTTAGAAGAGTGTAACTTACTTCACTCTATTATCACTTGCAAACAAAGTTTGAATAAAATTACATGTATTTAGTATCAACGTGTTTACAGTATCAATAAGCGTAGGAACAATCGACCTCAAAAATTTAACGTTCATTTTATTCCTTTTCGTTTTGTCTTGATATTCATAATGCACGCATCTGCTATAGCATCCAACTCACTTCTTTTGGTACTCTGTTAATCAATGCTGTCACTGACAAGTACACCCCCTAGTTGAAGGTTCCGGCATTCAAGGACTCCTATCTATGTCTCACCTTGCAGTGAAGTAACTGCGTTGAGTGATGACTGTCATGAATGTCCATTCTCTACATTTATATTTGAGTGTTTAATGGAAATACTGATATCACTCTTCTAAATTCACAAAAACTGCCCGCCCCATATGTATTACCTAATCAACTTATAGTCAACTTATTCGTTTTACATGAAGATGGCGACAACTTGCAGTCTTCTGGATACCGAAACGATCCTATTTGAACATTGGAAAGAAACACAGACGATTGCAGCGAAGAATTTTTCTTTACGACGAAATCATTCTCTTAGCTGTGCAGCCATAAATATATAGTAAACAGAATAGAACATTCAGAAATAATTTCTGGTCAAACGTCAACATAAATTGCATCACAAAGAAAAGTTACGTAATAAGAAATTGGTTGCCAAATAAAAACAGTTACATCACCTGTCAGTTATTTAGAGTGGTCGATAATCTACGATGGCCATAACAAAGAAAGAGGTTGTACATACTTCTCTTGAATGCATATTGATGGTTTGAACTTTTGATACGCTAATGCTCCAGCTATAACCAGACGTCTTAGCCTTCAGTCCTTTCGAGTAGCTTGGTTGTACTTTGTGCAGAATTTTGTAAAACTTATTAAAAAGAGTCACATGTCCTGAGTTTTTCAAGTGTTCTGTTACTGAGCTGAAGATGCATTCCTATTCTCCCCTTATCAGCCAGGTTGGATAGTGTTTGCGAGCGTGTTGCATAAGCTGGCATATGGTACGGACGATGTACTTGACTCCACAGGAAAGGAAAACGTTTAACAACTACGTTGCAACTGTCACCAAGAAGTCGTTAACATAAAACTGAACAAAAGTCTGAAGTCATTAACTCGTGAAACCATTTTTCTATTGTGTCTAGAAAACTACGTATTCAACTATTTGAGTTTATCGCTGCCTTCCATTCAAATGTAGGTCTTATCACTCGGCCCAAAATTCTGCGAAACATCCAAAGTTGTTGAGCGCAACTTGAAAGTAAAGTTCGAGAATTTGATTCACCAAACAGAAAACCTAGTTCCGACCTCATCTAATGACCTTGACCATTTCAAATCAACTTTTCTAAATTGCTGTATAGATTACATAAATAAAATTCCAATACTCGACACATTTTATCAAAAAAACATCGGAATCGGCTAAGGGATCTTCAGAAAAGTGAGAACTTAGTCATGATGCACCCTAGTAAAGGTGCTGGAATAGTGCTTTTAAACAAATCTGATTGTAGAGACAAGCTTTCACTCATCCTATCATTTGGAAAGCAATTTTCAAAACCGACAGTTCAGAAAAGCTCTTCCCCCTGAAATAGAGCATCAGTTGTCCAAGACAATGAAGATGAAAGATGTAGCACCGATTACATACATTAAACTTTACGAACAACGTCCGCCGGGTCCCTCGATCTCTCGACTATATGGTCTACCCAAAGTGCACAAAGAAAGTGTTCCCCTTCCTCCAGTACTAGACATGATCAATTCTCCTTACCCATTCCATTGCAAAGTGACTCGTCAAAATACTGAGTCCAGTGAAGAATGTAATTTTTAAAAACAGCCTGTGTGACACATTTCACTCTGTTGATTTAACCAAAAAAGTTTACCTGTCATGAAAGAGGATGATTTCTCTGGATATCATCTTCCTATTTACAAATGTCGCGCTAACGGGAACCATTTGTTTTCTGTGTAGCTTCATCCAGTGCCACAAATTAAACATTGGTATCCGAAATCACTATTTGAGGGAACTTCCTCTTAGATGTACTTTTAACGTGCCCTTCAGACTTAACAGACAGATAGATGGCGTGGCAAATGGGATTGCCTCTGGGACTCCTCATAGCTGACTGCTTTATGGCAAGCCTGGAAGAGATGATCTTATCGAAAATAATCAGCGAGCTTCATATACACAAAAGATAGTACCTTTATTATTTGTAACGAGAGTAAGAATCTCGAAAATCTGCTTCAAACTTTCAGTAGTGGTCGTCCCTTTATCAGATTCACTCTAGAAGCAGAGTCGAACTCGAAATTCCACTTCCTTGACTTAAAAGTTTGAAAAAAAGATGACAATTCAGTCCTGAGATCTATTTACAAAAGGCCCACTTGGGACGGACAGTTTATTAGTTTTCAAAGCTTGTGCACCTTTTAACAGAAAGTGGAATCTTATCAAATCACTCTCCTCAAAAATGCGAATATGCATCGAGGATGTCATCCATGATGAACTAGAAAACTTACTAGAAATCCTGATGAAAAATGGATACTCGCATAAATTTAAAGATAGGAACCTAAAACCCGCCACAGAATGCGCGCATACTGCTCTGAAAAAGATATTACTGTTGAATCTCTAATTCAAGGGAGATAATGGGATTGTTAAACTTAGAAAATGTTAAGGTCCAATCTTAGAATCACTCTCCTGAAAGAAACTCATTTGTCAGTACACAAAGCGTAAGCTGAAGCTTAGGGCTACATTAATGTGTGCATAACAGTTTATTTGCTCCTGTGGGGCCTAGTACATCAGCCGTGCCATGTGCCAGCTTATGCAACACGCTCGCAAACACTATCCAACCTGGCTGATAAGGGGAGAATAGGAATGCATCTTCAGCTCAGTAACAGAACACTTGAAAAACTCAGGACATGTGACTCCTTTTAATAAATCGTAGATTACCGATCACTCTAAATAACCTACATATTACGCAACTGTTTTTATTTCGTAACCATTCTGTGTATTTTCTCATTACATGACTTTCCTTTGTGATGTAATTTATATTGACCTTTGACCAGAACTTGCTCAAGAATATTCTTTTTTACAGTATATTGGTGAATGTACAGCTAAGAGAATGATTTCGTCGAGAAAATTTTTTATTCATTTCAATCATTTGTCCTCTTCATACCGTGAGTGACAATTCGATAATGTTTGGAGTGTATTTCTAGCATCCTAAATGCAAACCTTTCTTCACATGGAATACCTATCTGACGATAAGCTAGTGGTTCAGCGAGTTAACCAATTATCTAAGGTATCATAGTGTGACAGATGTATCGACGCCTTGCGGAAATGGTTTTTATTTATATTCCCTATTGTTCTCATATGGCTTTTGGCTTCATTTTTGTGATGTGACTACGTGCTGTAAAAGCCCTACCAGTTATCACGTGGAATAATTTAAAATCTATTTCTGATTGGGTAAATGTTTTTTGCGAAATATGCCCAGTTTTTGTCAAAGTAATTCCTTCTGATTAGAATCCCTTTCTGAAGTAAATCTGTTAGCAAACTATGTATTACTCACCTTTACCATCTACAAATATACTACCGATATATCTCAGTAAAATTTTCAGTCTATTCGCACTTATAGTAACACTACTGTTCTGACTTCATTCTATATACCGATAAATTAGCATAAATTCGTTTTGAAAATCATAATTACTTGTTAGCTTTTGAATACTAGATGTCCTTTAATGATTTTCAATGTCGAATCTAAACTATACAAACCAAGTCAGTCACCAAGATGAATATAACATCATGAATATCCGGTAAGATCGAGGGATCCGCATAGGAGCCCATCTGTCAGCAGAGGTCGAGCAATTACAAGTATCAAAACAACAAAACCGGAAGATTTTACCGAAACCTTCAGAGTAAAAGTAGCCTAATTGCATCTACGTATATATTATTTTATCATCATAGAACAGAGCATAGAATGGCAGTCATCTTTTTACCTCAACTTCATCGACTTTGTAAAGGCCTTCGATAGCGTCGACCGAGAAATAATTTGGCAGCTGCTTCAGCACTATGGTTTTAGTGCCACAAACCAAACCATCAACCTCATTCAGCAGCTATATGACGACGCTACATGCTAAGTGATTCACAATGGAAAGCTCAGGGATCCCTTTGAAGTGAAAACAGGAGTAAGATAAGGTTGCCTACTATCATCACCGATAATCTTTCTGATTGTGGTCGACTGGACTGGATCATGCAACAGACAACTGTGAGGAACGAGAAGAGGGGCATACGCTGGCTGGACCGATGGAAAGACCTCAAAAGAAGATTTGGATTTCGCCGATGATGACTTATGTTTAATGTCACACAAGGTAGAAGATCTACAAGCGAAAAGTAACCTGTTGACAGAAGAGGCCGCGAACGTGGGACTTCAAGTAATCGAAGAGAAGACAGAGGTGATGAAGATATCCAACCTCCAACAAGCACCAGTCACCATCAACGGGAGAAATTTAAACAAAGTTGTCTATTTCACCTGCCTAGGCAGTATCGTTTCAACCACAGGCAGCTGCGCAGACGAAGATATCAAAGCCAGTATCGAAAAGCAAGTCAGGCCTTCATTTATCTGAAATCAGTGTAGAGATCTACTGCACTGTACTCCACTCAGCATAAAGCGTGAACAAAATCCGGATTTTCGACAGTGATTTCAGTCAAGTCAGTTCATCTGTGTGATGGTTCAGAAACTTGGCGCGTTACTAAAAGCATTTCAAACAAACTACAGACGTTCATCAACAGCTGCCGCGCACGCTCGTTGCTGAAGATCAGATGGCCAGAAAGAATAAGCAACAAGGAACTCTAGCAACGAGCCAACCAAGAGCCCATCGGCCAAAAAATATGCGGAAGGAAGTGGAGATGGATCGGACATACACTGAGATCGTTTTGGGACATCACACGCCAGGCCCTTGGGTGGAAACGACGAGTTGGGCGTCTGAAAGTGACATGGAGAAAAGTGGCGTGAGGGAGAAATGAAAGCTTATGGGCAGTCGTGGAGCCAAGTTTAAAAGTCTGCAGAGAAGAGATTGAAATGGCGACGTGCTACTGAAGCGATATGTTCCACTAGAAACCCAAAAGACAAATATACTGTTCTACGACAACACCTGGTTTGGTGGGCAGGCAGCTATGTATCACAAATTCATATGACAATTGGGAAGACCCCTTGGTAATTGAACTGAAATTAATACCTGATTAGCAGCTGCATCTTGTAACTCAGCTGTGAGAGTACTTAGTCGGTACGTTGGAGGCTGCTGGTTCGAGTCCTGGGGCGATCCAGATTTTCATTTAACGTTCAGTGATAAGTCTGTCAAACCATGGCTTAAACAGTCACACTGATATTTTGTGAGTGCTTGAAGTTTGACAAATTTAATTTGAAAGTTATGTTTTCGCCAAAAATTAGATGTTTTCAGAACTATATTTGTAATACCCTTATCACGTGTTAGCGAATTCTGTTTGTGAAACATATTGGTGTGATTTCGATTTTGTTAACTCTCTGTAACTGTGCACATCATTTCTGTCGTTAATTCAAGAAAACTATTTCTCATATGCATCAATAGGTTTCGATGAACGCCTGTCGCGTTCTTGTGAAAACTGAAATTAAAATCGTTTATTTTAATTTAGTCATCGTGTAACAACCATCGGAATTGGTTGGCCTGAAAACTGCTTATTATTGTTTGTGTGGTTTTTCAGTTTTCATGTAACTGGGTAAGAAAATTTGTAGTGAATTTAGGCGAGCTTCTAATGGCTTCTCATTTACACCTTTAGATTGAGAAAATCGTCGTAGTTGCTGGATAACACTGCAGTTAAAAATCAAAATCGTAAAAATAGCTAACCAATAGAACTGAGACTGATATCTGATAATTAATGATGAGTCTTCCATTTGATTCAGAAATTGTAAACAAATGAATATAAATTCTATGCGTAAATACTAACCCAGAACTCATTGTTCCAAATTTGAGAACACTTTATTCTTTACACAGTTGTTTGGAATTAAGTAAGTAAAGTGCGATATGAGCTCAAGATCGGATGGCTGTTAATCACGTTTCGTGGAAGTCTTAAAACTACTGGCCGGGATCAGAGTGGCATTTAAGCCTACAAACCAACCTAGACTGACAGGGGAAATTAACGTAGAACCTTGCATACAAGTGCATCACTTCACACTAGTATACAAAGAACAAGTAGATAAAAAAGTGATATCAAAGCAAACAAAGTTATGTGAGAAAATTAGAAATTTGAGGATAACGGTCAGAAGGAATATTCACGCTTTGGAAGACACTAAGAAGTGAGTACATCTGCGCAATTGCGACCGATTTCCAGCGTAGTCACGAAGAGTCCTCAAACGACTGATTCCTTTCGCCTCCAGAACTCCATCTAGGTAGTCTACACCTTCGCACACAACTCAGACCAACAGTGAGAGACTTCACCAACTGTTGTCACGTCTTGGTTTGGTCACCCTAAACCTTCTTCTTTCAACCTTCCCCACCACCATGACACGTCGAGAAAGCGGTGGCTCGGCATGCGCAGTACATATCTAAGTCATCTCATTAAGCTAAAGTTGGCAACCTAACTAATCTACTTGCCTGTCTTGTCTACTACCCTTCGCCTGACCTTAATATTGCTCACAGAGTGATTGCACCAAACGCGAAAAATGCTACGAAGATACCTGTGATCGACAACCTGTAACCGCTTCATATTTTTTACTTTTAACGGTCATATGTCACAGCTGTATAACAGGACAGAACGAACCGCAGCGCAGTATACTCATACTGTGACTGATAGTCGGATATCTCGCCAGTCGGCAAATGCCACACGGCACTGCTGTATTTCAGCTGAGACTTCGTCAGCACCCAGCCTGTTTGGGTGATGAAACTCCCCAGCAGGTGAAGTGGTCAACGCATCCCACCACTTTACTCCTTATCATTAAACTCGGAGTAGTTGCAGATCAGTCCTGAGACATCACCTTGCGTTAAGGTGTGAAACACGTGCCAAACATATTCAACTCACTGTTCAAGGCGTTCAGAAGGACCTGTACGAAACAGACCAGTCCCTGTGAAACCAGACGTACCTAAAATTATGTCCATCAATACGTCTATGATGAAATTAAACAGAAACAGTGACAGTAGGCATCCCTGGCAAACACCCCTAGTTATTGTCGATTCTGATGACAACTCTCTATAAGTGTGTACACGGTTATGTGAGTTCGAGTAAAGAACTTTGGTAAGCGTTATTTGCTTACTGGGTACTCTCTTCACAGTCAGACAATGCCACATCACGCTCGACAGAGTCAAACGCCGCCTTTAGATCAAGACATATAGCGTATAGCGAGTGTCGGCCACTGGTGCGCCTGTGTTCCAGAATCTGTTGGAGAGTGAAAATCTAATCGATGCACCCTTATCTAGTTCTGTCTGAAACCTACCTGGTTTTCTTCAGCTCCAGTTAAGAGCTAACCAAGTGACAAACGTTTTTGGTTATGAAATTTCAATGAACCCACAAACAAAACAATTTGGTCTTCCAAATTCTCTGTAATGACTGTAAGGTGAAGTTAGCCACCAGGGTTGCCTAGGATATCAGAAAGTAGAAAACTAGCTTAACATAAGATGGTAGACCCTAATAAAATCTTTTTAATCTAGAAAATATCTCAAACATTGCCGTGCATGCCATCACACAGTGAGATTGGACAGATGGACAATTTTTAAAAATAACTTAGCTAGTTGGCAAGCTTTGTTTGCCAAATGGAAATAGAAATGATGGGACACCGACTTCAGATATATGGGAATTTTTATTACCTATTAAATCAAAGAATAAAAACTGAAATCAGACCAGAGAGTTGTGTGATACACATAGAAAAACTACAGTGCAACTATACCACTGTGCTCAAATTCGATTCTCATACTTTCCTGTATGAGGATGATTTGTAAACTTGAGTCATTTTATTTACCTGAAGTGTAATGCATATATCGTGTATGAAAGCAGTGTTATTTCCTCAAAACAAACTTCACAAATGAAGATAAACCAAGCTTTATTGTTTTTGCATAACCTTCATTTTTAGGTTTTACCGTGACATCCTTACACAGAAAGGACTAGAATTTATGAAATAACTTTCTTTTTTTATAAAGTAGTAAAAAATATTGTCTTATTTACCACGGTTGAAAGTATTTATATACTATCGTAAACATTCCGGTAAAGTTGAATAAAAGTAAACCAAGAAAAGCATAACTAGAATGTTTGAAAGCATGATAATCCTAATACCATGTTAAATACTTAGCATACAACCACATAAACTCAACAATCTGGGCTATTTATTGTTTTCTACGTGATTGTTGGATACAATTCATATGTAACTAATTTGATTCATATACAACAACTCTATTGAATGCTCTTGGATAATAACTCGCAATTCCTTTTGAGAAATTGTACAAGATTGATGAAATTGTCATGCAATCATATTTTACAGATTATGGAATCAAAGAGTTCAATTGGATGGGATGATATTGCTGGACTTGAATTTTCTAAGAAAACATTACAAGAAATTGTAATACTTCCAATGCTTAGGCCGTAGGTTGTGTTTCTTTTTCATTAACATTTTACCATTATGTTGTAATTTACTTGGTTGTGGCTAGCAGTTGAATTCAGGACGTGTGTCACGTCTTACTTGTGTTTCATCCACTTGGTTTGCCTGTATCCTAATGAGTGATGTTGTTCCTACTGAGCCCATATGCCAACAGAAGTCAATCAATTCGATCCAGTACAACAATGAGAAACTTTGAATATCAATAAGTATTTTACCACTTATGTTTAGTTTTGTATTTAATTTTTCTCTGATGAGCGAAATATTTGTGAGCGACGTATACATGAACACATGGTCAAATACAGAATCCGGACATGAATTGGGGGAAATGATAAAAAGACTTCTTCAGCGTTTACCACTTTTAATCTAATTTGCTGTATATATATACTTATTATTCTCATCATCGGTTCTCATATCGGAAGTACTGGTGGAGACTAAAGACTACTAGTTTGGTCGTTTATTTTCTTAAAACTTCTTTATTCTAAGTCATCGTCCAACAGTTGGTTGAAAAGATTTTTTTTAAATGACCCTTTATCATAAGCATATCAGCAGCAATTCACTTCCGACAAACTTTGCGGACTATGCAGTCGAATATATATATATATATATATATATATATATATATATATATATATATATATATGGCTATGGCTTTAAACTTTCCAGGTGATGCATACTCGCCTTGTTTATAACTGCCTTTATAGTCCACATGATATGAAATGTTTTTGACTTGTAGTAGTAACTGAATAAATTTACACAATCAGTACCAGGTAAATACAATTTAAGGGTACTGAGTCACCAGTCTCAGATACAAAAATTACCGATGAGTTAGTGGAAACTGATAAAATCGCGTAATAACCATTGAATTAAGGCGTTCGGGTACCACTAAATACAGTGGTGAAGCGTTTAGGTAAGAAGTATTGAGGAATTCAATGGAAGTTAATTATAGAATCCCAGAAAATAAGTTTTTCTAGAAAACTTCAGCCGATCTTAGACGTTTGGTGTAACTCATTAGGAGGATATCGTGAACTGAAATGCACTCTGCGACCACGTGCACTTTTATACAGCCCAATGGGCTACACGTATTATGAGGGCTGATCAGCCTACCCAGACTTTGGTAGGTGAAGTGGGATCCGAACTCATGACATGTTCCGAAGTAGAGTGTCAATGAACCACACCTCCTGTTGTAAAATTCAAAATGATTACCTGAAAGACTCAAATACATGGCGAGCATTACGGTGTCTTCTTAGAAAACTGCAAACCAGTATGAAAACCATAGCAATATTGCTTTGTTTGACTATGATCTTCCCTTCGATGAACTAGATCTAGCTAGACAAACAACTCTCAGAAGTCATTACTCTAAACGCAACTAAGTTGCCGTTTACGACTTGATTTCAGATCATTTATATTCAGAAACCAGAGAAGAAAGCTCTAGTGATTGCCACCACATAATAGCTGAAATAATGACTATTGACCGCATTCTAAGTACATTCTACCCCACACCCTTACTTTAAAGATGTGGTTATTATCCAAAATGTCTTACCCAACGTGTAACTCATCGTTACTTTGTGTTTGCAATTCAGATTAATCAATCACAATTTTTGACTGCGGCACACTAATGGTATTTAGTGATTCTCTAAATGAACTCTTTCATATCAAAAAGTCTCTTACATTCAAAAAAGTGTATTGTCCGAAACAAATCGTTTAACCTCCTGATAATTATTCATTCTTAGAGGTGTATCCATGAAGAAAGAGTTATGTCAAGGTTCTCAAGGAAATGTCGCCTAATGACGAAGTGCGTATTTATTCACGAGGTTGTGAGCCGTATTTTTTTTTGCCTCGACCAGTACCATCCAACCTGAACCCTTGCAAACGTTGCAGGGTTCCAATACATAATCCAGGAGGCGGATGTTCAATTGGTTTAGCTGCAGGAGCAACCTAACCTGACTCAACACTACCCTAACAAGAAAACATTATCGACAGACCAGTAAGCACTAGAATCCCGGTTTCTCACAAAACATTATCATCATATCCCAAAATCTAGCAGTACGACTGAGCTATGCATAAACCTATCCAATCGGTTTTTGTTATAAAATAACTCGCTGTAGATTTCACAAGTTCTGGTCTGTCAATTCATCATCAAGAAGTGCGATAAAAACACTAAATACTTCAGCTTTGCATCATCCAGCCGAACCACAGGAAACCACTCCAAGACACATAGTTTGTATTTGTGTAAGTTACAGCGTGTTTGAAATGATATAGTTCCAACGCTTCGCACGGAAGTCTGGTCCGAGCTTCTTCAGGAAAAACGCTCGGACCAGACTTCCGTGCGAAGCGTTGGAACTATATCGTTTCGAACACGCTGTCACTTACACAAACTGTATCTACTGCTAACCTTTTACTCAAACCCCAATATTTGAGACACCTTAGGATAACTTACATCTTTGGTGTTACTTATTCATATAATTCTTTGATTTTATTGACGGAATTTAGGAACCAACTTTAAAGCTTCAGAGCATTTTCTCATAGGTGAATACATAGAGTAGTATGGGATGGGTCTCACCTGTTGTCAAATCATAAATACTGTTACATCTGTTTATCAGATCCTTAAAGTACGATATTTGTTAATCCGTGGCTCTCCTCCAATAAAGTAATTGTAGTGCGTCTTAAAGGCTAAATTTTCTTAGTGTGATACTGCCAGTCGCTCTATACGTATTAATAGATTTGCTCTTGACCTGATTGGATATCTTTTTTATTGGCACAATCCTCTATATTGTTATTAGTTGGATATGACAGTACCAATACTAACCGCTATTCTTTTCATTTCTTCTTCCTAGAGACCTTTTCGTAGGACTTCGTGGGCCCCCAAAGGGTTTGCTTCTTTTTGGCCCACCTGGGACTGGTAAGACTCTGATCGGTAAGTTTCTGTAAAACAACCTATGTATTACGACAGGTGGTGGTAGTCAAATCTTCGTAATCAGTACAATACGATTGCTTTTGTAAACCATCCACTTGAATTACAAGTTTTTCCCACTATTTCAAATCTAGGCTTTGCTCTCCTAAAAACTCATTTTCTCCTTACTTGCCGTAAAAGATCACTTGCGTCGGTGAATAGGCTGTCATGTGAACAGAGATCGTCAAACTCGATTGGGGTTTGGCAGTACTATACGGTTATCAATGAGACAACCGGTTGAGGTTTGCATTGGAGATCTTGAGGCTGTACCGCACAACTGTATTACATCAGTAAATTTTACACAGTTCTTATTGATAACCTATCGTCTGTTTCTTTTTGTTGAGTTTAGGCAAATGTATCGCTTCACAAAGCAACTCAACATTTTTCAGTATAAGCGCATCTTCTCTCACTTCAAAATGGGTAAGCAACAATATTTCCTTCAAACCAGTTTAGATCTTGATAAATTGCTAAAACTAGATATTTATATAACTCCAGCGAATCATAAAAAACGGACCTTTGGTCAATATTCATTACCAACTGCAACCATCATTAAGAATATTTCTGTCTACTAATAATATAACAATGTTCATTGTTTTCAGGTTGGGGAAGGTGAGAAAATGGTTCGCGCACTGTTTGCCATTGCTCGTGTTCACCAACCTGCAGTCATATTTATCGACGAAGTTGATTCTTTGCTTACGCAGCGTTCTGAAACCGAGCATGAATCAAGTAGGCGGATCAAAACAGAATTTCTAGTACAGTTGGTAAGTCATGATCCTTGAATATTTCGTTAGATTACTCAATACTTGGGCATATTTATTGTGTTATTATTTTACTCTTTTTTAGGACGGGATCACAACAAGTGAAAACGAACGCATTCTTTTCGTTGGTGCTACAAATAGGTATCCATCTCATTGTATGTAATAATGTATCACGTATTTCTTCACGCATACTCATGGACTTCCATGTACCACCATGTTGAAGTTTAATAATGAAACCAACTTAACTTACGTCATCTGAAGTCGTTCTGCCCCTTTTTATCTGCTACTTACCCAAATGAGTATAATGATCTCAAGTGTAGAACTACACAATCATTTGTTACGGTGACGTCACCAGTTTCTCAGAATTCGACCCAAGCTAGAGAAATGAACAGCAAACAGCTACGTAACTACTGCTCGTACGTGTTAAGTCTGTACACATCATCTGCCCAAGTAAATAGGCAGTTTAGCTTACATTCCCTACGTTGGTGCTTGGCCTTTAACAACTGGGATTGATAAAATCATTACAGTTCAAATTTGTTCTGACTGAATTTCTGAGTATACATACTACTTTATAAAAATTTCAAACCAGTAAAAATGACCATTGTTACCGGACTCGATTTTTAAACTTACAGACCTCAAGAACTTGACGAGGCTGCTCGACGAAGATTCGTTAAACGTTTGTATATCCCGTTACCTAGCAGAGATGCACGGAAGCAAATAGTTCAGAGGTTATTACGACAAAATCATCACAGACTGAAAGAAACCGACTTTTGGGACATTGCTGACCGCGCCGATGGTGAGTCTCAACATTCTTTTTACCAGATAACTAGATCATATCATGACTCGAAGCACCATAATATAATCTTCCAGAAATCACTAACTTTGCTAAACTTCTGTGATAAAATCTCAACGCACGTTTCACTGATAGTATAAAACTAATCATAAACCTATGTATTTTAACTCTAAAAGGTTATTCGGGCGCAGACATGGCGAACCTCTGTCGCGAAGCTGCAATGGGACCGATACGCTCATTGAGCATCGAAGCAATACAGCACATAGCGTGTGAAGAAGTAAGTATGCCTTTTAGTCCAAGCCATTAAGTCATTCATAAAAACGTACTAATAAACGTTTACTGTTCATTCTGAATCCATTATCGCTTCCCGAGTCTTTTTTATTTGTATCAGCGTAGTCCATGATTGGTTGCTTTGATCATTCCTTGTTTCTTATGTGTGAAACTATAACTTAATTTAGAAACATATGGAGAGAAAAAAACGAATTACTTTCGAGATGTTATTTTACATACTACTATTTAAATGCTTCTGTCTTTAATTTTAGGTTAGGCCAGTCGAACTCACTGACTTTTATGCTGCCTTCCGACAGGTCAGAGCCAGTGTATCATGTGATGATTTGGAGCAATACCTGAAGTGGAATAGTCAATATGGAAGTTTTGATGCCTAAATAAACTTAATTTGGATAAGCAGGTCAGCTGAAACTTGTTTGAAGTTGATCTGTTCAAACGCTGTTTTATTTATGTACACGCTGATGATATTAATAAAGTATTTCAAGTAATGAGAGACAGGAATCATTTACATGCACACTGAAGTGCTTGGATGAGATCTTGAATATTAGTTTGAGCACTCCTGAGTAGATTGGGTTGCACTTTTGGGACTACTTTGGCTTAGTATGCTCACTGGTTGGGTAGCTGCTGGTTGAGTCATGATCCTGCGTCTTCGGAATCGGGGATCATCAAGGTATGAACGATCACCTTGTCGATTGGCAACACTTAAGTGTTCTGATGAGTTGTTCGCAAAAGTATTAGCCATTTCATGCAGCTGCAGCTTAACAGGCCGTCTCTGTGTGGAGGTACTTGGATTCTCATCGGTGTTTCCAGTTGCATTTGTTTCATTGTTATTCTGTGGCTCTAGTTCATTACTGTGCTTCGAATATTCTGGATCGCTGCATACAGGAAGCCTTGAGTGAGGTTGTGGTCGGAGCGTAGTTAGCTGTCCACGCAGTCTTGGATCCTCAAAACGATGCGGTAGGTCATCCACAGGTAGTTGCATCAACGGATAAGGGATTTTCACTGACATGTCCAACGGTATGAGCCGCCAAGATACTGGACTTTGGGAAGAAGAGACATGAAGCTGAGTAATTGCAGCGTATTCCAGTCCGAGTTTGTCTTCAACCGGGTTATCGCGACATGGTGCTTCTGTTTTATCTTTCAATGAGAACTGAAACAGCAGGAGTAGAGAAAAATTATGACAGGCAAATGTTAGCACAGCATACGGCAAAATGACACCTACTTAATTTTCGAAATTTCATAAATCATCAGGACTAGAATGTTTCTAACACGTTGATTATGGGATCCAACGTTGCTCAAAGGAACCTAGCATAACTTGCTTTTTTAAATAAGCAGTATGGTTGGGTTTGCAAATAAAACGCAAAACACGGTTACTGACTGAAGTTGAGCGGGACTGTTGACTGTGCAGTGCTAATTTTCCATAAACAAAAGCTTCTCACAAGATAAACCATGTGACTGCTTCGTAGTTTTCAAAATGTTTTTCGGTCCTAAGCAAAGACAAGGCATTACTCCAAGCAAAATACAAGTGACCACCGAAGGCACTGGGTTTAATTTACTTACTTGTTGTGGACTTTCACTTTCAAGTCGAGGATGCATGTTATGCTCATTTAGACATAAGGGTGATGAGGGAGGAACAGATGAATCATCTTTGGGTTCACAAGTGATTGGTTTACTGGAGGCAAGAAGAGCCGCCATTTTATCGAGCTCTGAATTGACAATGGCTTCCTCGTGTAGCGAATTAAAAATCGGTCGCGTAGGTGACCTGACTCCAGGGGCACAAAATACCTCACATCTAGGTGTGAATCGAGGGAATCTAGCGTTCCCAGTATCCATCATACGCATCCTTGGCAGCATCACTCTTGGTTGAGGACATCTAGGTGGTGTTTCAAGTAAGGATGGATGTCTGAATCCATTAACTGTAGGAACACATGCTGAATTAGGCATGGTATGATGTGGTGGATATGGTACAGGGCCATAAGTAGTAGGAGATAGGAAACAGCGTTCTTCCTTGGGATATACAATTTGAGGCCTCAGTTCACCAGGAGTCATGTTGAATGGACGCATTCCTCTAATGTGCATAGAGTCATGTTCTGGGTGGAATTGGCGAGGACCAGGTGCATAAATTGGAGCGAAAAGATTTGGAGTTACGGCAGGCATACGTTGAGGGTGAAAACCAGGATTGCCAATTTCCTTCTCGGATGACAAGTTCCTTAAAAAGATGAGTATAAAAAAAGAGGACTTCATGGAAATCTTCCAGGATGGTCGTTTAAATTTTAATGACTCCACACTAACTTTCTTACCTTCGACAATATGTATTAGTTCTGTTGGGATGTTAAAATTCTAGGCTAACGCTTGCTACCATACAGAAAACATCAAAAGGCACCTCTAGATGCTGCCGTTACAAATGACTAGGGAGAAAACAAATTCAGAAATCTGATACAGTACATATGAAATGTGTTGACTCAAGAGGTTGTGTTGTAACTTCTAATTTCGAATCACAAACATGCTTACCAAAATCATATTGAGATTATGTTCAACTGGCAAGCGAATCACCAAACCATAACGTAACGCACAATGTAGTGTCGCTTACATTCGCTACGATTATGGCGCAAACAGTTAAACGGTGACTGGGATATTGCAAAAAGAGTTCGAAATAACCACTAACTACACACTAAGTCAAAATACGATTAAGACTGATTATAGTAATTCGCATTTGCCATAGAAACGAATATCAAGAGCAATAAGAGCCAATTTAGTTACGACAGTTTGGTTGATCTTAGGAGTTTGATAAACTGAGTCTATGCAATAAAACGCTCTTTACCTATGTAAAAGCAACGAGGATAATAACAGCGAACGGTAAATATCCTTCGGTTTCAGTACTGTCGTGTTCTTGAGGAAAAAATGATGATTAGTGGCGTTCACTATATACGTGTGCATGCATTTTGAGTTGTACACCATGCACTAAGTGTTAGACTAAAACAAAACTTTAAGAAATGGCGAACTGATTATCTTCTAATTCTCTGACTACTACTGTTGGACAATAATGTCTTATAGAGTTCATAAATTTATCCCAGAAACTTGCTGAAGTATTCAAAATACACTCATCTATTCTACATCAGTCCTGTAAAATAAGTGAGATTGTCATATCACTATGCGTGTAGCGTAAGATTAAAAAGTCAGTGCATTTCTGCTAAATAAAAACTCCCCGTAAAATCAGGGCTTTCTGTGATAGGCTCAACAAGTTAGGTTGACACCTACTAGTCTTCCACTACAAAATGGGGAAAAAAGATTCGAAACTTTTCATTTTCATATATTTGAACCTATGTACCTGTGTAGCATCATAGGTCTTCAGATGTTACATGTGACTAGTAGTAAATTACTGCACTACCGCTCTATACAACTATCACTGTGCAATAGTGTTCTAAGCGTAACTGGCGCCACATACATAAAGTTATGCATCCATTCCCTTCACGCTGTAGCCTGGTCAGCTACTCAAGTGCACTCCGGTACTAGCCAACTGTTAGCTATATCTATTTATGATTAATACGCAGTCGTAAGCAACATGGGGACTGGCAAAAAGGAATAGCACCAAAACCTACTTCACTTCATATCGGCATACCAAGTAAGTCCCAAACATGGATGGGCAACTAAATGACAATAATATGAGCTGTTGTAGAAAGTTTAGAGACAGGAGTGTAGACTGACCACCCCGCTTTCCGTAAACTAATACCACTCTGAGGAACAGAATCCTGGTGAGCGCAGCACACGTCCAACTTTGGTCAACAACTGTTCACAATATCAGAGGTTGGTCCATTTTCTTATCTCCAACTTTTACACCGCTCACATGGTGATTTCGTCACACCCGAACGGTTCTACGAAGCCCTTGTAAACCCTCTACTTTTAATGACCGTGCTTAGAAGCATTATAGTAGTATGGGACGCACTTTCGCCGTGTGTTGTGTTGCCTGTATGACCGAAAGTCACACTTATAATAATTACAAACTACCACCTCGTAGATCTTTAGGTTGCACAAGCTTCTTAGGTGAAGGAAACAACAAGCACGCAACTGGAAGAATTCTACGGCACTACATAGACAGTTAGCAGTCTGCGAATTCTGAGAAAATAAATGAAAACTTATGTTAGCTGGAAAATAGAAAACAAACGAACTCCATTTCGCTCTTGATATACCAGAAGATCAAATGAGTATCAACTTAAATTAACACTGCTTACAGCAGAGTATTGGAAATGAGTTAAGAGGGAAATGAACAAGTGAAAAGTCAGTTGACAAATTGATGTGAACGGAATGTTGCTAGCAATGGTCCAGTCTATATTACGCTAACTAATCCTTTCTGGTAATGATAAAATCAACGTAGAAACGTCTTACACAAGTCCATTAGCGCAAGTTGCCACACTTCACAGTAGTAAACAAAGAATAGGTGGATAGAAAAAGTGAAATAAAAGTCGAGTGAGATCATAAACAATCTGAAGATAAAAAGTTAGTGAGAACATCCAAGCTTTAGATGTCGAGGATGAATACATCTGCACCATTGTGACCGATTTTGAGACATGTCACCAGGAGTCCTCAAACACTGATTCCTATCGTCTCAGGGACTCCAACCAGATAGTCTACATCTCTGCACACGGCTCAGACCAAATGCAAGAGACTTCATCGACTAGTGTTACGTCTTGGTTTGACCATCCTGAACTCTCCTTTAAATTCCCCTGCATTGGCTCGCCCAGGTAGGCGGTGTTTCGGCAACACGTGTCGAAGCCATCTCAGTCAACTAAGGTTCACAACCTGATCTGCCCATTTGCATGCCTGCCTAGTATCAATCGCCTGGTCTCAACATTGGAAACAGTGATTTCACCAAAAAACGCCAGCAATGATACTAAGACATTTGTGATCAGAACCCTGTAACCGCTTAATCTCTTCAACTTTTAAGGGCCATATTTTGCAGGCGTACAACAAAGAACAGAATGCAGTGCAGTATACTGTTCCTTTTATAGATACTCAGATATCTCGCCAGCCGATGCCACAGATGACGCATTTTGGCGATAACCAAACGTGTCTTCTGTATTCAACCTGAGATTTCGTCAGTAGCCAGCCTGTTTGGACTGACGCAACTCCCCAAGTAAGTGGAGTAGTCAACACATTCCATCACTTCACTCCCTATCGTTAAACTGAGAGTGGTTGGATACCAGTCCTAGAGTACCGTCTTGCATTTGATAAGTGCCAGCGAAACTCATGTCAAACATATTCAGATTTCTGCTCAACGCGTTCAAAAAACCCTGCATTGCGTCAGCGTCTTCATCCCAAAGAACAATATCGCCTGTATAGTTCAAGTTAACTAGATGACCTCTGGCAAGTAGTTCAATGCTTGTGAAGGTAGTCGTACCTAAATTCATATCCATTAGTACGTGTATTACGAAGTTACATACGAACGGTTACAGTGGACATCCCTGACGGACACCACTAGGTGTCACCAATTCGAATGAAAACTCTCTATAAGCCCTCACATAGAAGCATGAATTCGAGTAGAGAGCTTTGTCTTGCGTTACGTACTCGCTCGGGACTCCTTCTATAGTCAGACGCAGCCACAACACATCACCGTCGATTGAGTCAAATGCCACGAGCCTTCAGGTCAACAAATACGGCAAGTGCCGGTAGTCATGCCTGTGTTCCAAAACCTGTCGTAGGGTAGAAATATGGTTGATGCGTCGTTGTTTAGCTCTGTCAAAAACCTGCCAGGTTTTCTCGAGTTTGCTGCTATCGAGCTTCAGTTAGGCGTCCGATAACTACGGGCTCTAGGACTTCGGACTCAATATTAGTCAAACTAATTCCCCTATGTTTGTCACAAGAAGATTTCTCCCCCTCCTTCCTGCGAAGATCAGTGAACTAGACTAGTCTGATGGCACTACCTCTGATTCTCACACACTACCTAGTACCTCCGTCACTCTAATCCCCTATTTTCTTGAGAACTTCTTGTGACAAACTGTCAGGTCCTGCTGTTTTGCATCGTTCCAGGTTAGGTACAGCTTTCTAAACTTCGAGGAGAGTTGGAGGACCGTTCCATTCAGGTTCTGGTTGGATGTAGGGTCACTGAAGGACCGAATGAACTACGCTTTACAGTGTTCTGCCCAACGTTCCAGCCTCTTGACCTGGGAGGTTATCAGCATTCCATCCATTTCGGTGATGGTTTAGCAAACGATCGTCTTCTTCATGCCGGTATCTTTAATAAGCATAAATAGTTGTCTAGTGTTAAGCAACTCTGATACCTTCTACATATCTCTCCCTTTCGCCACATACCACCACTCGCGATCGACGCAAAGACTCTTGGTCAATTTACGTCCAAGTTGCTTTCGCTCTTCATTGTGTTCAGAACTAGTTGGAAGCAGTCTTTCCGCATCAGTCAATTCGAATGATGTTTGTTAACCTTTGGGTGTTAGTTACCAATTGTCTTTACCTTTGACCCCTATGCCACTTTTCCTCAGGATTGGCGTTGCTATCACGTTCAGATAAATGCTTAGCTATCCCTTCCCTACATTCGGACTTGATGTTCTCATCTTCCAATCGAGTACAGACGGGCATCACTGCCTCCTGTTTCCTACGGCCAGTAAGGCGCAGACACACGAGCTCGTACTAGCACGTGACCAGAGTCCGAACTTGTACTACAGACGATCACCGTTTGTCGGTCTGTTGGCATGGGATTCCGTAAATTCCTCCCAGATGTTCTTCCGATTGACTCGGCTTCACTACTTGAGCGTTAAAGTCACCTGTCATTATGACAAAAACTGCACGTTTTGATTTCTATAGCAAGGTTGAAAGCTTCTCATAGAATTCATCCTTCGCATCATCCAAACTAGTCGGTGATTGCGTAGGCGGAGGTCACAAATAGGCGTCTGTTGACCCCAAGATCCTTTCTAGTCCTTACAGATCCATTCAATCGGACAGCACACAGACGGCTATTTACTGGAAACCAGTCGAGAAGCTCACTTTCTGCCGTACAATCTCAATGCTATGTCTTCATCAGCGAGGTGAATTTTGAAGATCCACTACCATAACCAGATGAGGTCAATTAAATAACCACACCCAAGTCCTGTATAGGTATCTTAGAGACACAGCACACACCCATGGCTAGAGAGTCCAGTTTTAGGGAGCGACGATTGCTGTCCAATTTGGTACAGAGTTCGGACGTTAAAAGCTCCTACATGAAATCGAGAGATGAATGTTAGGAAACTAGGAATGCAGTATCGATGGCTCTGATCATTAACAATAGTTGCAGAGTGAGACGTTAGGGTAGAGAGATGGAGGCAAGGAGGAGACGAAGAAGAGGACGATAAGTCATGACTACTGCTACAGGTGTGTGGTTGGTCGACACTTACCAACTGTACACACCGTGAAAGCCCATTTCTACCTCAGGTACCTGAACGAGAACTAAAGCTATATAACCACAGAGACAACTGGCCATCTGCTACACGCCAATGACACACAGGCCGTTGTGGGACGTCGATTTGAGGTTCGGCTGTTCTAATACCAGATAGAAGAAACTCATACCACTGGTACTGAAACACCCTGCGGCAGAGGGAGTAGGCTATTTTAAGAACAACCTTTTATAACTAATAGTTCCCGTTGTGTAAGCAGCATTAAAGTAGCATTGCTGGTCATCCAAGAGAAAGACCTTGCTGCTATCACACCCTCTCCGGCTAGTAGCTGCACGACTTCCCCCCTCAGTCACCCACATAGTGTGGCGATTCACACCATGAAGAAGACCGTCACTCGTTTTACCGGTATCCATGAAACCTTTCTGGCATGGTAGAACCTCAAGAGAACAGGCGTTCCACCAGTGTAACCCGTTGGCCAAATGTGCTATGCAAGCCCAGCGACCATATCAAGGTAGCAGCTATCAGTCGAGCATCCGTACGAGCAGCCCATATACCAAGACAGTCTCACGAATCCAGTTCTCTAAAATCAACTGCCAGAAAGACCAAAACTTCCAATTACTAAATGACCACTGGAAAAATTGACCATTGTAACTCAGTCGCCCAGTAGATAACGCTCTGAGATTTAAAATGGAGTCTGGTACAAGCGGTAGATGACTCCCCAATAAGCCTCCCTTCTAGCTCGTCCCTATTAATGACTTTTCACGCGGTTGGAACACAGTAGTATGCTACATATGTATACTATCATCAGTAAGTGTTTCGTGTAAGCCAGCAACACCCGACTAACCGCTGGTTTGACGTGATTTTCTGACTTCGTAATCGTGCTCTCCTTACACATTTACACTTAATGGTACGCTCGAATGAAAGCATGTCATCAGTGTCAGATGGAATGGCGTGGCATCTTTAAATTCCGTACGGAAAACAAATTCGTGGCAGTTATCCACATACCAGAAAGAGGGAGGTCCTTGAGGAATACCGTCAACCAAATTTATCCCTTCTTTCTACTACCACTTAGATCATTGTCGCTTCCAACCTAAACTTCTACTCTCACAGCCGATATCAAATGTGTGAAGTGCAACGACAAACTAAGAAAGAATGATAAACAGGGGGACAACATCAACGTAGAACTTCGCACACAAGTGTATCGCTTCAAGTTACCATCCTTCACAGTGGCTTGTAAACAACAAATGGATAGAAAAAAGACATCGAATTAAGAATAGGTGTATGGGTGGAGAAACAACCTGGGGATAAAGCTTGGTGAAAACGTCCAAGCTATAGAAGACATCAAGGAGCGAACACATCTGCACCATTGTGGCAGATTTTCTACCATTTCACCAAGGCGCTTCAACTATTGATTCCTATGGTCTTGGGGACCTTAGGCCAGATGCTGTACACCTGACACGTCTGAGACTAACATTCAGAGACTTCATGTACTAGTGTCATTGCTTGATCTGGTAACCCTAAGCCTTCGAATCCGACTTTCCTGAACGTCGAGATGGGCAACGGCTTGGAATGCACAGGACATTACCTATTACATTTCGCTCAGCCTGCAAAAACATCTATGGTTGAAAACCTGTGGTGTCTTCATATCTACTTCCAACGGCTGTACCTCACGGCAATATAACAGGATAGAGCGAACTGTGACACAGTATACTTGTCCTTTAACGCTTAATCGGATATCTCGCCAGCACCACAGATTACGTAAGTTGCCAAGTACTGAACGGGTAGATACATCCCACCACCTTACCCCCTATTATTAAACTGGGAGTAGTTGCAGACCAGTTGTGTCATCTTGAATTTGACAGGTGTGAAAAATACTCGACCTTCTGTTCAAGATGTTCAGAAGAACCTGCATTGCGTCAGCGTTTCCACCCAACAGGACAATACTGTCCGTGCATTCAAGTCAAGCAAAGGTCTTATAGGGAGTAAGTCAACCCCTATGAAGTCGGAGGTTACTGAGGTTATGTTTATTAGTACGTGTATTATGAAGTTACATACGAACGGTTATATCGGACATTGCTGCCGAACACCACTAGTTGTCAATTCACATGACAACTCATAAGTCCTTACACGGCTGCATGAGTTCGAGTAGAGAGCTTTGTCAAGCGCTTGCTCGGGACTCGTCTCACAGTCAGACACTTCCATAACACCTCACGGTCGACAGAGTTGAGTGCTGCAAAAAGAAAATTACACTCGTTGGTACATACATTTGACTGATTCTATGTATCATTCAGTAAACGTTATTGCACTGTCAGACTTTCGCAGTAATATACCGGGTGGTCGCTGGTTCGAATCCGGCCGCGGTCCAAATTTTCATTTCACTCTCATACATCACCCGGTATAAATACTATTCTGCCAAACCACGGCTATCTCAGATAGTCAAAATGATGATAATAATACAAAAGTTTGGGAAGTGCAAAATGCAAGCTAAGAAAACAAATAATTGTTGCAAATACTTATTTTACTTTACACGAGTCAAGGGTTTGAACTTCATCACACCCACCAAGCTGTGTGCAGCCAAGTTATGTCATCGGCCTCTACAATGAGAGCCGCTCATGTTGAGATCGTGAACCTAAGCTCCTGCAGATATTCATAGTTATACGCGATCACCGCTTTTAAGTGAGTGAAAGTGTTCGGACGACAGATATTCACAATATTTCTGCAGAGAAAAACAAGTTCCTAACAGATAACACCTCATTAGAAATAAAAAGCCATGGTTACTTATTCGTCCCAGCAAGTCACTAAACTCAACCAATCAAACAGTGAAACAAGACACACTATAAGTCAGCTATGAACAAAACATACTGGTCCCTAATTGAAATATTAATGAACAATAAGTGGTGAATTCTTACGTGTGTGCATGATGAACAACCCTGCAACGCCATAGCTGTTTGAACTTTAAATAATAATAAAATTCCAGAACATTGATATTGGCACTTGAGAAATTATTACCAACAGAAATAGACAAAGTAAAACATGGTTTAGGGTACGAATATAACCAGCTCACGCTGCGTACACTAGGAAATTTTCGTTTTGACATGCGAATCCCGCGTACATAAACTTAAGCCAATGTGGTGAAGAAACATAATTCTTACGTCACAATGACACACTAACATGGACTTGTCAAATGAAAAAGTGGCAACAAACATTAATCATTGGGTAGCATGCCTTATTAACTCACATTTGAGGAGGAATTCGGTCGAACCTGTAGTCAACATCGCCGTGATTATCGCTCCCCGGACGACCACTCAAAGGCGGTTTCAATGGGTCGGTATGCTGTATATGCACAGATTTAGCTGAAGGATGATCAATGTTATGCTGATGAAAGTTGTTTGACAATAAATGTGAAGCTAACCTTCGAAACTACCTTCTCTAACAAACTGCGTGTGAAATCTGTTAGAGGAGCGTGTGAGAACTTGCACTCATCACCATGATGACAGTCATTTGTGAGATGGAAAAACTTGCACGGAAATTCCTCATGCAGATATGAACATGAAGACTCTTTTGAACACATACCGACAGCATAAAACTTGCATAACTCTTTTTTTTTGTTTGGCACAAAATCATGAAGAAATGGACATGAACTCCCCTAGTATATGGGTCAAATAGATAAAAATACAAACCTTGCTACAACGACCATCCATATAATATCTACATCTGGACTGAGAAACAGACTTAGGTTGGCTATCTCTCCTTCGTTTCTTCTTCTTACGATTTACTTCTGAGGACCTTCGATTATCCTTGCATACAAATCGTACCCAGAGGTTAACAGAACTTACAAATCTTTCGCGGTCCACAACGAAAGTTTCTTCATCTTCAGAGAGAAATTCCAGGAGTGGTAGTTTGTCTTGCTCCTTCGGACGCCTATTTTTATTTTCAAAGTCTGTATGAGAGGTCTCAACATTGCAACTATCTGCTAACGCCTCAGACCTTCGACGGGAATCCCGTATCTTCCCTGTTCTGTGCTGAGAGTGACGTTTGCGTTTCGAATGTTTGTGGAGACCAACCCTGTAGAAATACATAGATTGGGATAAGTTGTCCTACTTTTGTGAAGCATGAACCTTGTATTCATGCACGGAGTCCTCGTGACCTGAATCACTAAGATCCTCTACTTCTCCTTCTTCGAAATCGATAGTTGCCATAGAAAGGGTTACTCACAATGCTGAAATCAACAGAAAAATAGCTGTGTAACTGACAGAAAGTGCCTTAAAGTGAGAAGCAATAGCATGAAGTGCTAAGTAACGATAATAATAGTTCACAGATGCATTCTGTGAATTCAGACAAAGCAGTCGGATGTAAGTTACTAATCACTTTCATAATTATACATCCTAGCCAATTAGAATTTATGGGCCCCAGACTAAAGTGGCTACACACCTCATTAAAACCCCTAACTATATTTTTATTTCTTGCGTTCACACAACACTGTGCGTTTTCAGCGAACTAGATGAGGTAACGACAAATCAATTGCCGCCTATATTCTGTTATCGAGTAAAATGTCTGGGTAGCGTAAGAACAAACAAAAATGGATGTACACGTTGCATGTTTTAATCAAAATAATGTTCAGGAAACGAATGTTGGAATTCAAGATATATTTCCAATTTTTCTGAATAAATCAAAGTTTAGGTGAAATGGTTTCACAGGCAACACAGACGAATAATACACCTAGATAGACGAAGAGACGAATCACAGAGGGATCCTAAATTCACTTTCGCGCATACACTCAAACACCCATCATTCATCCTTAGAGATAAAATTATAGACAGACGGAAGGCTGACGGTGACCAGACCAAGAAATGACACTAGTACATGAAGTCTCTGAATGTTAGTCTCAGACGTGTCAGGTGTACAGCATCTGGCCTAAGGTCCCCAAGACCATAGGAATCAATAGTTGAAGCGCCTTGGTGAAATGGTAGAAAATCTGCCACAATGGTGCAGATGTGTTCGCTCCTTGATGTCTTCTATAGCTTGGACGTTTTCACCAAGCTTTATCCCCAGGTTGTTTCTCCACCCATACACCTATTCTTAATTCGATGTCTTTTTTCTATCCATTTGTTGTTTACAAGCCACTGTGAAGGATGGTAACTTGAAGCGATACACTTGTGTGCGAAGTTCTACGTTGATGTTGTCCCCCTGTTTATCATTCTTTCTTAGTTTGTCGTTGCACTTCACACATTTGATATCGGCTGTGAGAGTAGAAGTTTAGGTTGGAAGCGACAATGATCTAAGTGGTAGTAGAAAGAAGGGATAAATTTGGTTGACGGTATTCCTCAAGGACCTCCCTCTTTCTGGTATGTGGATAACTGCCACGAATTTGTTTTCCGTACGGAATTTAAAGATGCCACGCCATTCCATCTGACACTGATGACATGCTTTCATTCGAGCGTACCATTAAGTGTAAATGTGTAAGGAGAGCACGATTACGAAGTCAGAAAATCACGTCAAACCAGCGGTTAGTCGGGTGTTGCTGGCTTACACGAAACACTTACTGATGATAGTATACATATGTAGCATACTACTGTGTTCCAACCGCGTGAAAAGTCATTAATAGGGACGAGCTAGAAGGGAGGCTTATTGGGGAGTCATCTACCGCTTGTACCAGACTCCATTTTAAATCTCAGAGCGTTATCTACTGGGCGACTGAGTTACAATGGTCAATTTTTCCAGTGGTCATTTAGTAATTGGAAGTTTTGGTCTTTCTGGCAGTTGATTTTAGAGAACTGGATTCGTGAGACTGTCTTGGTATATGGGCTGCTCGTACGGATGCTCGACTGATAGCTGCTACCTTGATATGGTCGCTGGGCTTGCATAGCACATTTGGCCAACGGGTTACACTGGTGGAACGCCTGTTCTCTTGAGGTTCTACCATGCCAGAAAGGTTTCATGGATACCGGTAAAACGAGTGACGGTCTTCTTCATGGTGTGAATCGCCACACTATGTGGGTGACTGAGGGGGGAAGTCGTGCAGCTACTAGCCGGAGAGGGTGTGATAGCAGCAAGGTCTTTCTCTTGGATGACCAGCAATGCTACTTTAATGCTGCTTACACAACGTGAAATATTGGTTCGAAAATTTTTTCTGATACTTGCATACTCTTCATGTTATGTAGTCTTTTATCCTCATGCTTGTTTCGCCTTTTCGGTTTAGTTTCATGCAGAGCTTTCTGGATGTCCGTCGGAGCCGAACGATTCGCTTTATGGCGTCATCCAATCGGAGATGCCGGTTGGACCTCAAATTCGTCTGTTTCACTTTTCTTATTTTTTGTCTGATATCTTTTTGTCTCGCGCTTTAGTTTGTTTTTATTGCTTTAAATTTGTCAGTGGGGACGATATGAAATCAGTGTCTCGTGATTTAATGCATTTGTTATACTTTCGCATTCCCCATTTCACACTAGATGTAGTTTGTGGGAGAAGGAGGAAGAATTTGACGACGGAAGTCTTGTGTTTTTCTTGCATCAAGTGCCTCTTCTAGTTATAATAAAGTATTACTCCAAATATCAAGCTTTTGTTCGTGCGATTAAGGGCTTAGCTTTCACGGCCGCTTGTATATACCTGGTTTTTGTAATGTGGCGGGCCTGCGTGATATCCTTTTAAAAATGCCAGTAGTTAGTTCATTGTACGTTTCGGTTTATCCACTTCCAGCACTGCTGTAGGTACTTGGCGTTTGTTAAAGTGGCATTCCACATTGTTGAAGTTGGCCGATGGCCAGTTGATAACCTGCTTCATTGGCTGCATTTCCTAATAAGCAGTGTGTTATCCAGATCAATGGAGCTATGCCTCACTACTTCAGACAACTGATTCCTAGCCATTGTATTGGGTGCCACTGATAAGAATGCATACAAGAAGTAAATGTAGACAGGTCGGTTTAAGTCGTAGGCAGCTACGAGCGATGGGAAAATATTTCGTACGGTGAAACCCAAGAGATAACGGGGGCTTGTCACGAGCAAAACGGGGTAGAGGAATAAGAGGAAGTGAAACATATTGTGCAGACGGATATTTCAATGGAGACCTTATACTGTTCCATCGGTAATGGGCAAAGTGTCACGGTAACCATTCTTCTGTGTTTCATCCTTTTCAGCTTCCTCACAGTTGGTGACGCTTCTTCTGAACGTGATGAAGACTCCTTGGCCTGTAGAGCCCGAAGATGAAAACATCAAGACCTTCCTCATGTATTTTGATTCAGTCATAGAGTCGGTGGGTGCCTGAGCCCTAGGAGCGAAGATCATGGTAGTCGACACATTCTTGAAGGTTCGAGCGACCGCAGCATATGACGTCTTGGAGCGCTTAGACAGGAAGGAGGATTGGAGAGAATGGTTGAGTGACTGGAGGTGGAGCTTGGCAGCCCAGCTACAGGGAGCTGTTGACGCAGCAGTTCTGGAGCACGAAGCTTGAAATAGGAGAAGATCCACTGGCCTTGAATTTTGAATGGTCGCTTCGACGAGCACTCCCTATTCAGGATGGGGACCACAAAGTACAATTTCTGGCTGCAAAGCTCACCGAAATCTTCCCAAATGCTATCTCCCAGCAGCCACGACATGTAAACGCAACCCTACAGACGGATACTGGTGGGCTGACCAAGGTTACCGGATAGACGATGGGTTCCGCGTTAGCTGCGGTGGAGTTGCAAGAGGTTGATGGCTGGAGAAAAAAGTCGATGGCCTTCAGGAGTAGGTGGCTGCACTCCGAATGAACATCGGCAGACGGAGTAAATTCTTCGGATGCGGACCAGTGGGACACCGGCGGAGAAACTTTCCTGAGAGATGAAAAAGAAAGCGTTTGAAACAGTATAATGTGGATTCCTCCTTTCAACCGGACTAGATGTTGTAGGAGCCGTGGATAGAGGTGCTGTGTATGCCAGAGTGTGTATGAGTGGCCAGGAGATTGTGCGTCTCACGGGCGCTAGGTCGACAGCCTCGTTGATAGATAATAGTCAGTCTCAGAACATGAAACCATGTCCCCAAACGATCCAAATGTCCGGTGGGCATGCATTAGAACTCAAAGGCTCACCAGATTGCGTCACAGAGATCGGAAGTCGGAAAATTAGGTTGGCATTCAGTGTCGCCACGCATCAACAATGGACATTCTTGGGTGCTAATTTTTGTGAGGTTCGAAGCAATGCTAACATTAGAATACGAATCGTGGCGACAAGGTACGGGTCGTTTGCCACGCAGAAAGGCAGCGAGGCAGCAGAGACCGAGGCGAGGTGTCAAAAGCATCACACTCAGAAGCGCCAAGAGTCATGAAGTTGGTCTGGAAATACGACAGATTGTTCACGTGAGATGGAGACATGTGCGGATGCCGTGACAAGGTACAGCATGAAATCCCGGCGACAAGCCAAGCAGTGACAACATTTGTAACTCTGCGGACACCGTGTCACTTAGACTTTGGGTACTGAGTTCAGGAAATGCTAAATGAAGGGGCCTATGGTTCGTGCAGTCCACCGGTGCTTTTAGTACGGAAGTTGAAGGAGAAATGTTGATTTGGGTTGGTTTCCGACAGTAAAGTGCCATAATGCAACCCAAGCTTCATACCATGCTGACGGTGGCTGTAACGTTGGATAGTGTGCAGAATGCAAAGTATTCACATTCCTGGACCTCCACAGGTCGAGGATCTGGAATAAATGGAAGCCGTTTTGAGACCCATTGAAGGGTTTGAGCTTCATATCGGTAAGTCAGAATCTCAGGTGGCCATGAAGAGTGTTACATCACTAAGGCATAAAGTTAAAAACGGTGAAATGAAACCGTAACATTAGTTCTGACAGCTAGAATCATTCTGCTGCCGAATTCCAACAGAAAACTTCGGCATTTCTTGGGCAGAATTGCATTATACGGTCGGTTCCTCAAAAAATGGCAACGAGATAGCAGTACTTTTATTTTAGCCTGTTTATTAGAAATACCACATAGTGAAACAGTAGCATTCACTGGATGACGTTTCGGACACGATTTATTGTCCATATTCATATGAATGTGGACAATAAATTGTGTACGAAACGTCATTCAGTGAATGCTACTGTTTCACTATGTGGTATTTCTAATAAGCAGACTAAAATGGAATTATACTCGACCGCAGCGCCCGAGTTTTACACTTATATTGATAGAGATAGCAGTATTTTTATGCAAACCACCTGGTAAGCATATATTTACGTGAACACAGGACGCATAGAGAACGTCTGAACACATCGAAGATAGCATGCTACGTGCATGGAGTGTAACGGGACCCATCAAGACTTATTCGTCTTCAAAAGTCGGAATCCACACTAAATGCACTGATGAAAGCCGCAGCCGAAGGAAAGAACATGGGGCCGCCTGCGGGAAATGAAGAGTTGAGACCGTTGTTAACGCAGAAAGAACGTCTACGGGTGAATACTTATAGAGTTCTGACTTGATGAGAAAGCTTCCGGAGCTGATTGGCGGTGGGTCCGAAACATCCAAGCAAAGAAATAGCAACGTATTTGCTTTGCTCCTCACCATAGCTATGTTTGCAGTGCAGAATTGTCTGCGT